TTTCGAATTTTCTTTAAAAGAAAATTTCCTAAGGATAACACCGATTTTGAAGGGTTCCGCGCGAAGGATCGCGTGTCTTGGGAAAGAGACGCGATGGTCTCTTCTTCTTCTCACCGCAAGTTTATAAATTCCCGCAAGCCATGATCGGATTTTCGGTTCGAAAATTTCACAGCAATTCATACTTGTTCTTGATACCTTCAAGTTTTATCTGATTGAATTTTAGAGTGAACAACCAAAATATTCAATCTGAAAGTGATATACACAACTCTCGATTCATCCAAGTTTTTGTTAATTTCCCCAACATTCTAAACTCTCACATTCAACCAGACCAGCAAAAACATTAGTTCTCCGGTGGTTCCTTCCCACTGCACAGGGACCCGGTGGCAAATAGGCAGTCCGGCAGTGATTCCTTCTCGAGGGTAGACCAGCAGCAACAAATATGAAGGAGCTCTGTCCATTTTTCTCGTCAGAATAGCAGAAACAGAACAGTGTAGAAAGAAAAGGGTAGAACCGAGCGAGGGTAGGAGAGCAGACAGAAACGCAACAAAGCAAGAACATAGAAAGAACAGAACGAAATCCCATATTACAATTTCTAATTCAATTCAACGTAATCTATACTCGAAATCGCAAATCCAACGTCAATAATACTAATCTATGAATTAATCTTAACGTAAGAAACCACCACTCACCTTGAGTCGGCGTAGAATTCCGGTGAATCTTTCCGTCAATTTCCGTCGAAGTACTCAGGTGGAGGTTCTCCTGGTCTGATCCGGTTTGTGGCGCGGCAAAGAAGAACGACAGTGTTAAGTCCGATTAGAATTGGTTTCTTCCCTAGATTTGGGTTGGTGTAGTCCGTAGGCTTAGTTTTAGAAAAATATTACAGTATATTACTTTAATATTATATTTTTACCAAAATTCAAAATATTTATTTATTAAACTGCATTGACTTTTTCTCTCGTCGCGGTTCACACGAAATTTCAAACTTGACAAATAATATGTCGTTGAACTCATTTCATTGAGACCTTGAATTCAAGTATAATTTTGGCGATTAAAAAATTACTTCAAAATATTCTATTTTAATGTTTCTGCTTCGACGTTTATTTAATTTGAACAGAAATTAGAATTACAATTTACTAAGAATTCGTTATAAAAATTCTTGTGTTTCAGGTACAACAAGAATCCATCAAGATTCGATTCTCGAGAATGAAGTCGAAACACTAAACTAGCGTAGATTATAGGTTAAACCAATGTAAGAATGTGATTTTATATACCTATATTCACAAGATCAAATTCATTCACAAAAATATTTAAAACCATCTCATAAACACTTTCAAACATCCAAAAGGTTTCAAACTCAAACGAGAAAGATTCAAACACTTTTGGAAAAATATGTCAGTTGCCAAACGGTACCCTATACTGTCTACACGGTAGAGTATATTGTCCCCACGGTACCCCTGTACCGTTAGAGCTAGGTACCCACAGAGCTGGTTAGTTTTTGATAATACACAGTACCAAGGTACCGCCACTCAGGGTACCCCTACTGTACAAACGGTGCCATGATACCGTGAGGACGGTACCCACCTACCGTGACCATTGGGTACTGCTCCTGAATACTGATTTTGAATTTTAACATCGTGAATTGGTAAAAACCTATCTCAATCACCCTCCAACGGCTCACTAATTTTTTCTACTATAAATACAAGCATAATCCTTCATTTCGCAAAGAAGAACTCAAACTCCAAACATCCTACTTCTGGTTTACATTCCAAAGTATTAGAATGTTTGTTAAGGGCTACTATACGGAGAACACAAACTCCAAACATCCTACTATACGGATTTTCAAAGTAAAACATTCAGAGAAAATAAATGTGGAAGCCCTCAACAAACATTCTAATACTTAACAAATTAAATAATTAATGAATTAAATAAGTTTTTCAATTAATATAAAGGAGTCACCCACGATGCGCATCACTATCCATCAAGATGTCCCTCCCGACCCTTGTTCCTATCGCGTGATTTTAATCTTCAGTCCATAACTAAGTAAGTTTTCAATAATTTCAACTTTGAAGAACTTTTTCCCCCTAGTGCCACTTCTTTGACTATATATATCAACTAAATTGATTTGTTGGTATTATTCGTATTAAAAGGTGAACCCGTTTCAGTATTTTAAACATCAACATCTTCAATTTGATAAGTTTTATCTAAACTTTCAACAATGTCGAAATCACACTCATCTACAAGTGAAGCTACTAAAGTACTTCCTAGAACCATTCTACAAGTATAATTGTATAAAAGGTACTCCATGTGAAAAACAGGATGTGATTTGACAAATGAATTCATTGCATTTTTGGAAGCTTGCAGAATGCAAATTTTTCTGAGTGTTTGGGTGTCAAAATGTGATACTTCTTGAATAAATATTACTAAATGGAAAACATGTACAACTAATGCTCGAAAATTGTTTATTTTGGGCAAGGTGCTATGTTAAAAAATTCACTTGGAATTTTATTTTTTGAATTTTCTTTAAAAGAAAATTTTTGTTTGCGGCATTACCCCGGCGTCATTCGTTTAGCGTCATTCATTTGACGCGTTTCTGTCCCCTTTTTAGCCNCCCCCCCCCCCCCCCCTCTAAAATAAAAAAAATCAAAATTTTAAAAAACCTATAAATTCCCCTAAAAAAATCATTCTTCCACACATTTCTCTCACACATCTCATTATCTTCTCTCTAAAATATATACTATTTATTATAAATATATACGGAGTATAAAATATATTTTAAAAATTAGTTCATCTTCATCCGACGATGATAAAAGAGTTCTCATTTTTTGTTGTTTGGCCACGAGTTGTATTCAATGGTGGGAAGATGGCGAAGAAGAAAAAGCTGAATCCTCTCGACGACGGACCTGACGACAACGTTTAAACCGGGATCGAGCAGCCGCCCACGCTTCACTTCTAAACGACTACTTTAATACTCCGTGTGTTTATACCCCGAAGGATTTTAGTAATCGTTTTTGGATGAGTCGTCCTCTCTTTTTATGCATACTCGCCGATGTTGAACGCGAGGTTCCTTGGTTCACCCAACGCTTTGATGCGAGAGGCCGATGCGGTTTTAGTAATGTCCAGAAGTGCACTGCCGCGCTTCGTCAGTTGGCGTACGGGACGACATCTGATATGTTCGACGAATACTTGAAGATGTCGGCTCGGAGCATCAGGTCTTGTGTTTATAAATTTTCTAAAGCTATTATTCAAATTTATCATAAAAGATATTTACGCAAACGTACAACGAGCGACATTCAGCAGTTACATGCAAGGCATGCCGCTAAATACGGCTCTGTCGGCATGCTTGGGAGTATTGATTGCACGCATTGAGAATGGAAAAATTGTCCCACTACGTGGCACGGTCAATTCTCCCGGAGAGATCATCTCAATCCTATTATCATGCTCGAAGCTGTTGCTTCAAATGACTTGTGGATTTGGCACGCTTTTTTCGGTGTCGCGGGCTCGAACAACGACATCAGCGTTCTCGATCAATCACTTGTTTTTGACGATTGGATTAATGATACCGTACCGCACCCGACTCGTCTTTTGAGCTTAGAGGGACGCTTTACAAGCGTGGATATTATTTGGCCGATGGAATATATCCAGATTATTCCACGATTGTCAAATCCCTCTCCGAACCAATGAGTCTTAAACGCCAAACCTACAAAAAAGCTCAAAAGGCGGCGAGAAAAGATATTGAACGAGCCTTCGAGGTCTTGAAGGGTAAATGGCACCTTCTAGATCGACTGTCGAAATGTTATTCTCAAACGAAAATGAGGAATATCATGTACAAATGTATTATTCTTCATAATATGATCATAGAGGACAACGAGACTACAATTTGTCAATACAACCCGGACGAGGAGGTGCCTTAGTACGCAGAAATCAACGAAGAAAAGAAACAAAGAAACCGACAAGAAATTCAAACCCGAGAGATTCACAATGCACTAACGGCGGATTTGATCGAACATATCTTTAGTCGCTCGAATAATTAGTAATTTTTTTGTAGTGTTGTTTTTTTGGATGTAATATTTTTTTAATGAATGTATTTTTTATGAATGTAATTTTTTTAATGAATGTAATTTTGTTAATGCACTAGTCTCATTGCGACTAATTCAAATTAAAAATTAATTTAAATTTATTAATTTAAATTTAGAAGATGTATATTTAAATAGTGTAAAAAATGAAGGTTTGAAGCTTCTATTTGAAGTCCCGAGGCTTCAAACTCATTTTCACTGAATCTGTGAAGTAAGTTAAAACTGACGTGGCAGAGAGAGAAATTTTGAAGCTCCAGTTTAAAACCCCGGGGCTTCAAGAATATTTCGAGTGCTCTTAAGATGGGGTAACAAGGCATTTTCTCACCCATAAATACTCCATACGCCGACCGTTGCAAATACTCAGGAGTGAATTGCTTCGGGTTGGGTTTTTCATCAAACAAAGTATACCCCAAATGTACATCACCTTTTTCTCCACCATACATTTTTATTTGATTTTTATTTACTTATGGGGTACAGGAAAGGTGTACTCCTAGCATTTTTCTTTTTCATCTGCTGCAAATTCTGACCATGGATATTGCCTCGATCCCCGGCTGACCCCTAAGATCTACGTACAGAATTAACTTTTGACTTTGAAAGAAAAAACAAAAAGTTAACCCGCACCGTTCAAATTCAAAATTCAAATATACTACTACCACCTGCTCCATTCCCATACTACACTGGCCATTCTCCACTCAAGAAAAGCCTCGATACTGCCATTTTTCCCTCTCCCAAGCTCCAAGCGCCATTAATGAAGCCTCTCTTCTCTCTCAAATCTTTAACTTGCATGTGATACTGTATGGTTTTCTTATTGTAAGAAGAAAACGAGGAGCCTCTTTTGATGAAATTAAGATTCTTTTGCTTTCTAGGATCACAAAGTTCCAAATTTTAAGCAATTAGAATCGATTGTGGCTGTTAAATTGTCTCAGGATATTCTCATTAGTAGAAAGTTTCAGTCTTTCTTAACTACTGCTACAAACAGGGTTTTGGGTTCTTGGCGGGGTTTAAAAAGTTGGGTTTTTGTATGGTATATGTTTGATCGGAATGGGGAAGGAGAACCCGCCTGAGAATCGAGTGAGGGTACCCAAGTTTTCTGATCAAAACCAAGCTCCGAAGGGCAATGTTGATGTGAAGGGAAATGTGAATGTTTCGAAGGTTAAGCCTTCATGGGGGTCTCAGATTGTGAAGGGATTGTCCGGAGAGAAGAGAGCTAAGGGGTTGATCACAGTCCAGAGCAGAAAAACACCATTGTCGAACTCAGATGGTGCGAACTCCCATTTGAGGGCGAAGAGGTCTCTGATGGGAGACTTGTCATGTTCAGTGACTGCCACTCAGGTCCATCCCCAGACATCTGTGATTGGCCAGAGAGCAAGAAATTCTGCCTCCCGGGACTTGTTCCTTGAAATCGATCACCTCAGGAGCCTTCTGCAGGAGTCGAAAGAGAGCAAGGCAAAGCTTGAGGCAGAGATGGAGCTGAAGAGTGGGGAAGTTGATGGACTGGTGAAGAGAGTGGAGGAATTGGAATGCAATAATGCCAGCCTTTCCGAGGAGTTGCGTAAGAGGGATAATATCAAGGATTTGAATGGGTTGGAGATTGAGGTTGTTGAGCTGAGGCGCTTGAACAAGGAGCTTCAGCTTCAAAAGAGAGATCTTTCTTGCAGGCTTTCTTATTATATGGACTCCAAACTAGCTACTACTCCACAAAGAATTTCTGAGGTACAATTACTTTATAACCATACTGTTCTTCCCTTAAAGAAAATTGACAATTTTTTACTAAAAAACACATGTAATTAAAAATTATACTGGAAGTACTACAGTATTAAACTGCAAAATTGGAAATTGAGTGTGATAAATTTGCTACAAAATTAAAAGATAGTTAAATTGGCTATAGTCTAATTTAAATTGAGGATTCACTGGTTCTGCTTTTCTTTTCTTGATCAGGAGAATGATGTTGAGAAGATCAAAGCAGAGGCTTCATTGTTAAGGCATAGGAACGAATCACTTTGCAAACAAGTAGAGGGTTTGCAGATGAGCCGTTTGAATGAAGTTGAGGAGCTTGCATATTTGAGGTGGGAGAACTCGTGCTTAAGGGACGAGTTGCGCGGGTGCGATAAGCCACTTTCTAGTCCGGATGGTAGTGACAAAAGCAGGGAGTCCACTAACCAAAGTGACGAAGACTCCTTGAAATGCAGTAGCAATGCCAGTGGGAGATTGAGTCTTATCAAGAAGCTCAAGAAATGGCCTCTTACGGATGATCATTCCCAGAATTATGCCCGGAGACACTCCATCAGCGGATCAAAATGCTGTGCTGAAGAATTGGTGATCAATTTGAGAAGACAGTCTGATGGGTTTGTATTGTTAAAGGAAGTGGGCAAGGAAAATGAGCCTTTTTCTTTCCAGCCTGGGGTGACAGCCTCTTGTTCTTCTTCAGAGATTGAGAGACGAGCCCTGCGGGTCCCAAACCCCCCACCTAGAGTGACAGTTTCAAGTGATCAGAAGAAGGAAACTTCAGCTAAAGCCCCTCCCCCTGCCCTTCCCCTTCCGCCGCCACCTCCTCCAAAGGTCATGGCTAGAAGTAGTACAGCAGGAACAGTGCAGCGAGCGCCACAAGTTGTTGAATTTTATCACTCACTCATGAAAAGAGACTCGAGAAAGGAGTCTTTAAATGGCGTTTGTGATGTGTCGAATGTTGCAGATGCTCGCAGTAGCATGATTGGCGAAATCGCTAACCGATCTTCTTATCTGCTTGCTGTAAGCTCTTTCCTTCGATTTCTTCTTCTCGTGGTTGAGCTTCTGTTTATTATGGCTTAAACTGCATCATACTGATTTAGAATTTTGAAAATTTTATCATTATATATATATTTATTTGTGTGCACAGATAAAGGCAGATGTTGAGACTCAAGGGGAATTTGTGAACTCTTTAATAAGGGAAGTCAACAATGCAACATTTTCAGACATAGAAGATGTTGTTGCATTTGTGAAATGGCTTGATGATGAACTTTGCTTTCTGGTGAGTTGACTATCCTATTGATCTAGACAGTTTTTTTAAATAAATTTAAGTCCATTTCGATTTAGTCCATTATTTACCCAAAGCTAAAACAACATCAATCATTATAAATAATGCATATTTATCAAATTACAAATTACATTAAAAGAAGCTACCACCACCCTCCTTGTAATCCATTGTATGGTTTCCAATATATGTCATTAACAGGTGGATGAAAGAGCAGTCTTGAAGCACTTTGATTGGCCGGAGAGTAAAGCCGATTCATTACGAGAGGCAGCGTTTGGGTATAGAGATTTGAAGAAGCTGGAGAACGAAGTTTCACGTTACAATGATGATCCTAGTTTGCCATCTGATCTTGCACTGAAGAAAATGGTTGCTTTGTCTGAGAAGTGAGAGATCTTTTGAACTAGCTTTAGATTGTTTCTTTTTTCCCCTTTGTGCTTCCCATTTCGGATTTACTTATTCGTTTTTTCTTGGAAGGATGGAACGCACCGTGTATAGCCTTCTCAGATCAAGAGATTCTTTAATCCGCCACTGCAATACATTCCAGATCCCCACAAACTGGATGCATGACTGTGGGATATTAAGCAAGGTTTGGTTTTTGACTTCCATTTGTGGAGTACCAAAAGTATAAAATTGGTTTTTTTTCTTACTTTCTTACTCAGTAATAATAGCTTGAAATATGACAGATAAAGTTGGGCTCAGTGAAACTGGCAAAATTGTACATGAAGAGGGTAGCTATGGAACTTCAATCAAAGGGGGGAGGATCGTCATCAGATAAAGACACCTCCATGGACTATATGTTACTGCAAGGCGTTAGGTTCGCTTTCCGAATTCATCAGGTGTGTTCAAACAAACAATCTAATCAAGTCTAATACCAAAGTGAAGATAGAGTGAATAAACCTATATATGTTTTGTGGGTGTTTGATTGATTATGGAGATTGCATATTTTCATGCAGTTTGCAGGAGGGTTTGATGCAGAAACTATGGGTGCTTTTGAGGAGCTCCGAGATCTCGCTCTTGCTCTGAACAAGATGTAGAAGAAGAAGAAGAAGAAGAAGAAGAAGAAGGGATATGACAGTCTAAACCAGACTTGATAAACAAGAAGCAGTGAGAATATTGCTAGAGAGGCCTACCATCTCAGTAGCAATCCTTGCAATATGAGCTCTTTTTAAAATATTTTGTTATGCCAAAATGTGGCATTTTTTGGGTTTCATGTCCCTCTATTGTTTTTTTTTTGTTTTCTTCATATGTACACGTTTGGTATTAATTGACATTCATTTAACGACCAAACAGTTAAAAATGTTCATCAACATGAAAAAATGAAAACTTGATGAGCATTCATGCCTTTTTAAAAAACTAATACAACCATTGGGTGCAAAGAACCAAACTAGCTTAATATGAAAGTACAGAGTAATACTGAATACGTAGTACATTTACATGGATTACACCAACGTACATTTTCTAAAGTTTTTTTAAATGACCTTTGGGGTTGAATTTTGACAGTAGTCATTGTAAAATATCTCTCATACATGATAGTTTTATACAAAAATTAAACGGTCTAGGGAAGAACCAGCCAGAACTGTCTAAGTATACAACGTTGTATTGACCTACAAAAAACATTTTTTAGAATGATGGATAACAGAGGCGCCAATAAGTTGAGTTGAAAAGTGTATATGAGTAGAGCACATGCATTCAGTTTTCTCTGCAAGCAAGAATCCCATCGCGACTGAGGCGCCAATAAGCTTTGTATGGGATGACCATCCATGGAAGCTTCATGGGGAGACCACTTGCCCCTAGACTGTAAGTAACACTGCAATCACGACTTAGAGCAATAAGGAAAAAAACAAATCCAAGGGAGGGGTGGATAGTAATCATAAGAAAATAATCGCCAAGAGGCCAAACGAATGCTGACCGTTTCCCTGTTAGAATGCCATAAGCTGACGATGCCATGGATGACCTTGAAACTACTGAAAACACACATCTGTAGTGGGGCCAAACCACTTCTCCTGAGTGAATGGAAACTTTTTGTGTTAATCCTCATGAAACATTAACCATAACTAAGAGCTTTCAAGCACTGTTGAACAATATATCATGCCAGAGTTGCCTTAGTATTTTAAATGAAAGGGTGTCTTTTTCTTTGATGGTGTTGTTGGTGTGTGTGTGTGAGTGTGTGTCGCGAGGTAACCATGTTTTAAACGGAGTTATAAAAAAATATAGCTAGATTTTTATGATTTCCAATAGTTACTAAAAGTTTTAAAAGATGTACATATGTGGTCTAAACTTGTTGGATTGATTAAATTTAAAGAAATGCAACTTGTTTGGGACACTTGAATAAAAACATCAAATATGATGAAAACCTTATTGTTCAAAGACAAAAAAAGCTTATAAATAGGTCGTTTTTTTAATGGATGGTGTATTAATAAATCTCACAAATTTCTAATAGACGCATTTAGTTTAACTTACTTAAGCTCAGATAGTTGCTTCGCAAAAATGAAACCACCACCATCGATTTGAAGCAATTTCTTGTGGCGGCCAAATCTGTGTCATCTGGTTGACGCGATGCTATCTCGAACCATATACCAGATGGAAATCTTTTCTTTCTCACCAACCAAAGAGCAACTTTTGTATATGGTGTGACACGAACAATTAATATCCCAAGTTCAACAACCAAGCAAATCAAACTGATACATGCATTTATAATTGTGAAGAAAATATAGAATGCAGAAACCGTAGGGAGTAGAAGCAAGAGAGGAGTAAACAGAAGAGAGCCGACAACATGTTGCTCTACTGTGTAGCCGTAGCTATCTAACCTCTGGCGAAGAGGATTCCATTTCCTACCCCTGTAATCCAGTTGAACACGTAAGAAAAAATAATCATCGTTATTCAAATTTATTTGATGGTATAACTAATTTATCATATATAGCTTGTCTATGACTCTTTTTTTTGTCAACTTTTTTGGCAAATATGCCGTAACATGAAAAACTACTTTCGTTTGCCTGTACTGGACTCGTTTCCTGGGATAAAAAGAAGTGTTAGAAACAAGACTCTTTTTTTTTGGCGGAGTACAAAATTTACAGCCTATGGCACTCAGTAAGAAGATGGAGAGAAAACCAGGGAAGCAACAGTAATCCTGCTCAGAGCAGTCGCAAAAAGATAGAAATAACATTAGCTACCTGAAAAAGCGCCACAAAGCTGATATAGACTGTATCTGCCATGAGTAGAGTTGTGAAAGTAACCAATGAAGAGCGGACAAGTGGATGGTTGCTAGTGATATTATATCAATAGTCAAAGCAGCAGCAGTAGTCAGACCAAAAACACTTCCGGATATGGCGATTATTGTCAAGAGATAAGGCAAGAAGGATTTCACAAATAACCATATCGTGGACCATATCTGAACAACATTAAGAGAAATCATCCCAAGGACACCAGCAAGCTCAGTGTTTAACTTGAAACCAGCTGGGTTTCCCATCAGCCATACACAACCGGTACGCAGAACATTGTTGGTTATGCCATCAGCTAAGCTCAAAATGAATAAGCAAACGGCTCTTGCTTGGGAACACAATAGAATGCCTATTAAGTTTCCCAGAAGAAGATCAACAAAGATACTTGACCACACAAAGTGCATTCGCAATGCCGCCAATTCAGCATACTCAACGCAAGATTGACACCTAAAAAGTAAGACAATTGAACATTACATGGTTTTCGAAGTTGATAATGCATAAAGGGGCATAATAACAAGTTCTGTAAGTTGAGATATTAAAATTGAGAAGAATAAGAATAAGAAGGGGCTATTAAGAGCTATATAAATTGTCACTATGGTTTTGTTGCATGAATTTATAGTGTTAAGTAATTTTATAGAATTAGTTAATATTACTCGGTATAAATTTATAACACAAGTTTTGGAAAGGGAAATGAACAAGAAAGGCATGTTTGCAATGCAACAAATAATGGGCAAATATAATACCTGATACTGTGACCTTGGAGAAAAACTGGCCAATATATTAGCTGCGGGCAGCGTACCTCGAAATTTTTGCAGGTCTTGCCAAAGAAAATGACCAATATGGTGTGTACAAAATTCTGTGACCAAACAATGTGGAAGGACTGAAGAATGAAAAACAAGAATGTTGACACCAATGCTAAGATCGTGGCAAATAATGGCCATGCAAAGTTTGTAAACCTGAAACACGATGAGCCAACAATTACAGCAATCAGGTAAATAATAAAAAAAAGAGCAGTTGAAGAGGGAAGGACTTGGTATCATACATGTGAAAAAAATGAAATTTTGTTGATCTTTTGGCAGGAAAATGTGACTCAAAAAGGACCTTAGTAGCACCCACAGTGTTAATAGTCTGAATCACAATATTCTTCCTTCAGGAAAAGAAATAAAAGTCAGTGATCAGAAAATCACACGATACCAACCACACAATAGCAGCACGTTGATAGCAAATATTACCAACTGAATCTGCGTCTTCTTTCGGAAAAGATCCTGAACCCACATTGGCTTCTTGAAAGAGTCTGCTACTTGCTCAGATGGAGAATAGCCCAGTGAATAATGATGACTTCCAAATTGAGGCATCTCATATACTATTATCTGAAATCACTTAAACACAGAAAGATTTGAGATACTGGCAATTCAGTAGACAAGATTTAGTAATAGGTACTACAATGAATAATCATGACTTACATACATGGACATCTAACTGAGTTATAGCTAACCCTCCCCAGTTTAAGCATTGGAAGTTGGGAATTAGTTTTATACTCCTACCATATAGCACCGAATGATCATAGGAAAGTTGCACCCAATTCATTTCTGCATTTCTGCTCTTTCCCTCTGCTAAAACATCAAACTTCGGACTCCCGTAGCCTAGTAACCCATTTATCATTCCAATATTACATTGACCATCGGAGTTACCAGAACAATGAGTGCTCTGACCAGCAGAATTCACAGATATATCTATTTCAGGATCATCACCATCGGCCACATAACAGCCAAGTAAAGATAGCTTGCAGTCATCTTGAGGAAACTTAGGCAGATTATTATTTATCTCATGAAGAATCCCCTGGTTAATAGCACCAAAATCATGAAACCATTCAAGTGTAAGAAATCAGTAAAAATCAATCAAAGGATGAGCAGGGAAAGAAAAACCTAAAAGTACATTTGCTTGGGGATTTGTGTTAGAGTGTACTTATCATGCTTCCATTAAAAGGGTTGAACAAAAATTGCAGCAAAATTTGCAATGTTGTGATTTAATGGACAACTTTAAAAGAATTAGCAAAATCGCAGGTAATTCTTACTCAGAAAAATTCTGGCAGTATTGTTCAAAATCAGAATAAAACTACATTAATGGGCTGTTTTTTATAACAACGCCATGTACCAAAAATCGCAGCAATGTCTGTGAAACTTTACCTGAAAATCCAAACAATTCGCCGCAGAATTTACAGTGTCCTCGGCGCAGGAGAAAGCGACGACAATATCAAGAGAATCTTCCGAGGACGAGACGAACCACCCGAACAAGAAATGGCGAGAATGTGAACTGAATTGAGAAGCTGAACAGAGATGGTCCGGCCACCAGAGTCTGCATTTTTTAGCTGCGCCCATTTCCAAAATCTTTTTGAATGAAGAAAAATTGGATCGAAAGAAACAAATCTGAAATCGATCAAAAAAACCCGCCAATCACGTCAGAGAACCATTCAGATAAGGTGACCTAAATAGTAAAAATCATTGAGAGGATACACCTTGCTCCGTATTAGACTATGGATTATGGGGCCAGATCCGGGATCGACCACCAGGCATCACACTCCATCACAGCTGGGCTACCGTCAGACACAGGGCTTAAGGGAGGCGGTGTAACCATAGGCTTGTTTGGCACAAACAAATCAAATACAAATATTAGTTTTGAATCGAATATTAAACAAATACAAATAGGAGTATATTTGATTCGGGTGATATTCGAATATATGTATACCCACAAATGATGTTTCAACATCAATAGTCAGGTAAACTAATACTCCGTATAATATAAAATGTATTTAAATTACTAAGCTAGAATATAACTCAACAAATTAACGTATCACGAAAATCTAAAACATACGGAGTATGATTTTAGTTATATTTTATAAAATATAATTTGTGTAAGATAAAAATGTATTAATGTTTTTAGATATAGTATAAGAAATATCGTAAGTTAAATTATTCAAAATCTATGTTGGTCCATCATATAAATTATGGAGTATAATTATTAAAATATTCGTTTAGGTTTCGTGAAGTATTCGAATATTCATCAAATATAAATTCAAATCTTATTTTTAATTCGTCTCATATTCGGATTTGGATTCGTATTCGAAAAAATTAAAAAAAAACACAAATTCAAATATATTGATATTCGCTTCGATTCGGTTCGTTTACCCCCCTAGTGGCACCCTGGTCAAACCTCCATCAAATGGGAACATAACAAATGTACTCACTGATTTAGGAGTGTAAACACATATTAATCGGATCGAATGTGTCATTATCACATCCGTATCCATTTATTTTTATTGGATATCAATTTCAGATACGGATCTTGATGGATACTAAAAATCAAAACTATATCTGTATCCGTCGGATATCAGATATATCCGTATCCATTTTTTATTTTTAAAGATAATTTGAGAAATACTTTAATTTCCAATTAAATTAAAGTCAAAATATTCATTAAATTGTAATTTGTTACGGAGTAATTTTCTTATTTTTTATAATTTATAATATTCTACGACAACTTGATATGGTAAAAAGATATACATATTACGCATACACACATATTTTTATGTGTCTATACATATATTTTACATATAAAAATGTCTTATACTTTGAGTGTCAAAAGAAAAAAACAAAATATAATAATAAAAAATTAGAAAAAGTTATATATAACGGATCGGATATAGGGATAAACGGTTACTTAAACGGATCTCTATGCGGAGCGGATTATAAACGGATCAGATGTATGATTACCGAATCCGTATCCATTTAGTAATCGGATACGGATAATAACCGCTTTTAACGGATGCAGATATTTTCTGTATAAACAGATACGGATGCGGACGGTAATCAAATTTTCGGTTATCCATTTACAGCCCTATACTCATTTAGCTCTTTTTCTAAATGAAATTGTCTACTTTGACTTTTGGGTGTCAAACGGGACAAATTTTGATTATCAACTTATAAAATTTATTATATGCAATGATGGATATGATGTACTCAAGGCTCGCATTCCATGGTCTAATTCTCTTAGCGCGTCAGCTTGGCCCACGTCCTCGGCCCGCCTGGGACTCGGTTTGCTAGTGAAATAGTCAAACTATACTTTAGGTTTTTGTTTGGTAGTATGTATTGGGTTGCACCCCAACACGGTATCCATGTTTATGATGTTAGTAATTTACCTAAATAGGACTAAAATATAATGACTTTCTCAATATAGGATTATATGTTTTTATTTTCCAATGTATGACCATTGGTCATTATTCAACTAAATGTCCAGCATCACTTGGATATTATTCTTCTCACTAGCCATTATTAAGTCCTATTTAGGGAATAAAAAAGTTTAAGTCCTACACTGGAAAATGACTTATGTTTTAGTTCTATTCAGTGCAAATTTCACTATGTTGTTTGGGGTCAAAGCTTATTCTTGGTGGTACTTACACTCATGGAGAGTGTTGAGTCACAAAATGTCAAATTATATTCTTTCATTTCTTAGTATTTTAAGATATATTTTTAATGTAATTTATACCTAAATAAGCATATTTTCTTATATTTAGCATTTTGATTTTTTTCCATTTTATACATAAAATGCCTAGTTTTGAGCATATTTATACTCTTTAATTACTTTGGGGTATTATTTTTCATGACATATAATTTTTAGATACACTTTGGAGTCTACAAAGTTGAGGAAGATAGCAAAGTTGGACTTTGGAGCTTTGCGAGTTTTCCTTTCCAAGATACTCAGCGACCACAACACCAATAAATAAGGTGAATGTAACTTAGAACTCAACAAAAAAATGAACTTAGATCTAAATTATGGTGTGAACTATACTACTCAATTGTATCCTTATTGCTCTTGCATATACGTGGTTTATTAGCTTGAGAAAATGGTCATCTCTTAACATGTCTCTTTCATTTTTAATTGCACTCAAGTATATTGAAAGGTATCCGAGGAATCCTAAAGATCTCTCTTTGTGTTTCTCTAAGAAAATCTAATTTAATGGATAATTAAACTCAACATAATAATAAAGAATACAATGATATACTAACTGAATAAATAAATAAAGAAATAAATAAATAAGAGCGTAAATAAAAAATATTTTGTAATAAAATGGACAGAGTAAAGACTTACAGTGAAGATAAACTGTAAGTGGGTTTTTACTAAACGAACCCTAAAACTAAAAAGGGATATGAAAAAAATTAAACTATTGACCACCTCCCTTAAAAGGCAATCTACGAGTTGTAGAAAAAACAAATACTCCGGTATGAGTTATTAGAGTATACTCCAGTTGAACCACATTAAAAGATTGAATCTAATCGATTAGTTAGTTCAACTCAAGAGCTTATATACTGATTATTTTGCTCTTGAACTTCTGATGTGGGATGACACTCTAACACTCCCCCTCAAGTGGACAACCGGGTCATTTTGAATCTAACTGGTTGACCACTTGCAAATAAACTCTCATTTCCTTGAATTTATTTTATTAAGCGCCAACACCTAAAGAACCACGAGCCGCTGGGTATGGACTTCCAGACAGGCAATTGTGTTAAACGTGGCATATGCCGTTTGGTACATACTCCATACGGACAACTGGCTAAAGACTAACGGGCCGTTAGGAATGAACGTCTAGACGGACACCTTGACAAACGAGGAGGGCCAAAACCTGCTCTGATACCATGTCAAGGAACCAACTCAACCAAAAGCTCAAGCTTGTGGTTGTGGCCCAGGAAGAGTTATTTATATTCTAACACGCCTTCTCACGTGCAGGCGTAGTCTTTTTCGAGCCTTGCACGTGAAACTTTAATTTTCTCAAAACTGGGTGGCGCTGAGTTTTGAACCCGTGACCTCTTAGTCAACAAAGCTCTGATACCATGTCAAGGAACTAACTCAACCAAAAGCTCAAGTTTGTGGTTGTGGCCCAGGAACAGTTATTTATATTCTAACATGCCCCTCACGTGCAGACGTAGTCTTTTTTTCGAGCCCTGCACGTAAAACCTTATTTTTTTAAACTGAGTGGCGCTGAGTTTCGAACACGTGACCTCTTAGTCAACGAGGCTCTGATACCATGTCAAAGAACCAATTCAACCAAAAGCTCAAGCTTGTGGTTGTGGCCCAGAAAAAGTTATTTATATTCTAACAGACTCAAATCCGACCAAAATTTTGACACATGAAATTCCTACATTTGCATATAGAAATATGAGAGAATATATTATATTATATGCAGTACTCGGTAGAGGAAAAAATAAAACAAGTTATACAAAAGGTCATGATTAACAAGATAGACGAGGTAAAGATTGAAATGATCGGTAAGCAAGAAGCGAGAAGTGAGCAAGAAAGAGAGGTGCGGCTGAGTGTTAAAAAAGAGGCGTTATCTCATGACATGTTAGGGAAGTGAGGGTTTTCGGAATGGTGTCCAAGACTCGTTGATGGGCGAAGCGATTACATGCAAAGAGGCGGTGCGTGGTATTAGGGAAGTGGAGGGTTTTTCAGATTGTCTGATGTTGGTTCGTATCCTCAAGCAAGCAGAGGTTTTTCCTCCTTGTCTAATTTGGGCTCGATTGTGGACACTTGTTTGAGTCTTTTATCATCTTCTGATTGGGTTTCTTTTACTTTTGTTCGTCATTCACTTATAGGGTGGTCCATACTTTGGCTCGTAGGGCTAACCAGCCAAGTACTTGGGATGCTATTCCATCTAATTTTGTATTATCTCTTTTGATTGATTAATTTATGTGTTATTTGCCTCTAAAAAAAGTCTATTTTTGGGGCCAATACCTTTTTCAATATTTTAGGCATTTTAGCATTTTTAGTGTATAATACTACCTCCGTCCCAATTTATAACGCCTGTTTCGGTTTACGATGTTTGACTGAAATTATTTTCAAACCATTTTATATGACAAATGGTATATGATTAAAAAATAAAAATTACATATTAAAAAACTACATCAAAAGATCTACAAAACTAGTAGTGACAATAATATTTTATTTTATCAAATTGCTAACGAAAATAGAGAAAGAAAGTGAATGAAGTTTGACCCTGTGAATAGTAAACATGCATTATAATTTGGGACGGAGGGAGTATTTAGTTGCTTAGCTGAATTTTAATTTAATTGTCATTTTTGCATTCTTTTTCTTTTTCATAATTGGTAGTTTTTTAAACGTTTGTTTTACTTTCTTTTCCAAAATCCAATTTACGAGATTTCTTATTATTTGGAGAAAAATATAGTGAAAGGTCAAAACAGAGTTCAAGTTAATAAAAAAAGAAGATTGAGTTTGGGTCAGCCAACATCTACACAACTAGTCCAGTGCCCAACCCCTTTACTAATTTGTTCACCGTACGTAAAACATACAAAGAAGAGACACGACATCAAATTCACAAAACCACTGCACAATAATTAAATTGAGAGTACATTTCTAAAATGGTCCTTTCTAATCACGTGTTTTCTCAAATTAATCATCAATGAGTTCTAATTACATGCCCCACACTTTATAAATGAGATTTATTTCCTAGTTTTCCGTACAAAATCTCACTTAAATTTCGATTTAGTGGAGAGTTTGGTGTTTTTCATTGTCTAAACATAGACTAAGTTCTCAAAATGATCATTTTTAATAAAGTCTTTTTCCCAAATGGTCTTTTCTAATTATGGAGGTGTATTTTATTCAAATTTTAAAATATTTTGATAAATTTTTAATAATTC